TTTTTTTTTTTTTCTCTCTAAAAGAAAGAGAAAACCCTGCTGAAAATAGCGAGCTTGGTATCGGCCCTAGCCTGTCCACATGCAAGCCGGTTCCAACTGTAACATCCATTATTACCCAAATTACAACTAACAACACACACACACACACATATGCTCTCTTTTCATTACATCAGTCCACGGTCGGTAATTCTTCAGTGATCCGTGATGTCCTGTCTTATGTGGCGGAGCACCACCGGGATTGTGACCTCCGGCATGCTGAGGTGCGGCAGGTGGCCCTCGGTTGGCATCACCTCCACAACCGATGGACCTCCCAAGTTCTTTCTCAGGTACTCTCCCACCGCAACTGGGACCATAATGTCATTGGAGCTCTGGATGATGTGGCACGGGACTGTGACATGGCCGAGATAGGGCCTCAGGTCGAGCCCGCATATCATACGGGTTATGCAGCAGGCAATATCAGGCCGCATGTTGAACAGGGTCCTACAGTACTCCTGCATGGCCGCCGATTCCAAGTCACAAGCTAGCAAAAGCGGCGCATGTCCCAACGACAACGACTTGAAGTTCTCGTCCAAGGACCTCAGCGTCTCATCCATCACCTTCTGCTCGAATCCACCATAATACTCCTCTGTGTTGATTAACCTGTATATTCAATAAGTTCAGCTCAAACATGCCAAGTCAGCAAAACTCGACAAGAACAAAAAATGATCATGATGAGGCAATCGCTTAATTAGTTACCTCGGGGTGGGCGAGATCATGACGAGCTTGTGAAACAAGTCCGGCCTGAAAATAGATGCCACGGCAGCGGCCATGGACGACATGGAGTGGCCCACGTAAATGCACTTGCTGACCTGGAACTCCTCCAGAATGGCGATGAGGTCGTAGGAATAGCCTTCCAAGCTGGAATAACGGTCGAAATCGAAATAGTCGGGATTGGTGGTCCCCGCGCCCATGTGGTCGTAGAGCAGGACTTTGTAGTCGTCCACCAAGTACGGGACGAGAAGCTTCCACACGGATTGGTCGGTGCCGTAACCATGTCCGAGGACAACGGTAGTCTCCCCCGACCCTAAAATGGTCACGTTATGGGCTAATCCAATTGAGCTCATCTTTACCTGTTACGATAATATTATGAATTCCTTTTTGTGTGTTAGTTTGTGTATTAGAGTTATGGCCGTGTCTGAAATCAACCTGATGATACTCTGTGGATTCTTTATAGTCTCTTGGCAATTTTTTTTTTTTTTTTTTT